AACCAGCTCTCTGGGGAGGAAAAATGTGTGTAGGTATTTATTTAACTTTACTGAAAAGGCATACAGAGCACAATTTATAAAAGGTACAATACTCTTTCTTGTAAATTCCATATAACTAATTAATTCTCACAGAAAGCAATGTACTTGATTTCTGCCTAAATTGCATCTGACCAACAGGCACAGTTCTGGCATGAATGTAGATTGATATTTGAATGTATATTAACTAATGAAACAAAAACACCAAAAAAAATGATGTCAGAATTTGACTTATCAATGTGTGTGACTTCTTTGCTGAATTTTCAAACACTAGAATATCTCTTCAATTTTCTGTGCTATCCACAATGTTAACCGCTAGAGACATGACACACTTTTAAGTTTAATTTGTATTATTAACATTTTCCCCATCAGTTTCTCAAGTCTAGATAATCAACCAAGTAATAACACAAACCCTGATTTTCATGGTATTTGCAGATTTCTGTGGTATAAATAATCCCACCCTAGCCAATTCCGAGCTACCAAGTTGCCCTCACTAGCAGGAAAGAGATGTCCACGAGCATAACATTATGAAGTATTTCCACCATGCAGATAAACAACTAAGGTATTTAACCTCAAAACTGTAAATAACAGTCAAATACTTTGGAAGTAAATTTTGAGCATTGTCTTTGAAAAATACAATTCATTTCATAGAAAGCTTCATTTAATTGGTAATAATGGTTGAACCTATAAATGGCTCCCTGAATTCCTGGAAACAAGAATCAGACCTCAGGAGCCTTCACAACCAGCTCCAGCATATAAGGTCTACAACAGCAGTGCCTGGCAATTATCCTTCAAAATGCTGGGATCGGTAGCCATTGTGCTCCACATGCATAGAACTCCCCTAACACTATCTGAATTAGTTGGCCAGCTTTTCATGAAACCTCATTTTGCACTCGAATTTTTTTAATCCTGACACATAGATATTCAATAAACGTGTGCAATTAGTAAGTGACTAGGCCAGGTGTAGTGGCTCATGCCTGTAATCCCAGCACTTTGGGAGGCTGAGGTAGGCCTCCTACTTGAGGTCGGGAGTTCAAGACCAGCCTGGCCAACATGGTGAAACCCTGTCTCTACTAAAAATACAAAAATTAGCTGGGTGCAGTGGCATGCGCCTGTAATCCCGACTACTCAGGAGGCTGAGGCAGGAGAATCACTTGAACTCGGGAGGCAGAGGTGTCAGTGAGCTGAGATTGAGCCACTGCACTCTAGCCTGAGCGACACAGTGAGACTCTGTCTCAAAAAATAACAATAGTAATAATAAGTGACTAAACCATTAGTCCATGCACTGAAAATCTGATCAGATAAAACAGCTTAGGAAAACAGCAGCCATAGTAGGGAACAAAAAGTGGATCAAGAGAATGAAAGTAGGTAGGTGCTCTCCACTTTGGAAACGACCCTAACTGCGATTAACTGCAGAACTTGAACAGGAAATTAAACAGCTATTGCAGGGGGAGAAAACAGATGAGTATTTACAAGCAAAGCAACAAAATAATAGGGGGAAAACCACTGAAGTTAAGGTGTTCAGAGCAATAAGAGACAATAGAAAATAAAAAAATACAGAACTGACTTCAGAGACTTTTAGATCGTATTTGACTCTGTAGGCTCCAGTAGAAAAACTAGGGGGAAAAATTTTAGGAACACCATACTCACCTGTGGATTTTGTTTTTGAGTCACTTTAAAAACACTGATCCAACCCGTCAGCAACTTGCATTAAAAAGTATGCGAAATGCTAACTTTGAGCATTGAGAGCATGTTTACATTCTGGAGAATGTGCCCCATATTTAAGCAAATGGAGAAATTCTGAGCTTCCTCCAAGACCTCCCTTTAGGGCTCCTCTACGCACTGCATTCAGTGTTGTTGTAAGTGGATTTTGTACTCTGGTGTCAAAAATCACCCCACAGCATCCAACTCTTACACAGTGAAGAGCAACACTGATGTGGCTACTAAAACACATGCCACAGCTGTTTCTAAGCTTTTACATAGACAGAGAATAAAAAAATCAAACATAACAAATTTTAACACAGGCCCAATCTAGTGTAAAACTAAAACCAGATCTGTGATTATCTTTATTCCTGCATTCACAGACAGCATTCCTCAATTTCAGAAGGAATTTAATCCATTTTGTTTTCCATCAACCACACATTTACTTGGAGCTTGCTTATTAAACTGTGCAAAGAAGAGGACAAAATAAAATCCAAATTTGTGCAATAATCCACTGAATTCGATAAACATCCTGACCTACACCTAAAGTGGGTATAAGGTTAGCAAAGATTTTTCTCCTAAAAGCTCTTTCCTAAGAGTCCCAACAAGTGCTCAGCACAGAAAAAAAAAAAAAAAAGGCAAAGGGGTTATTTAAGGAAGAAAGTTGGATGAAAATGGCATCCCATTAAACTCTTCCTTAAAGGATTCACAGTGCTCACTGCCTCACTGCAGAACAGGACTGACATGGAGACATGGCAGTAATCTTGTTTAACCTTAACAGCATGTCCAAACTTACTTGATCAAGGAGCCCATTTTTCCCACCTAACATCACCTAATATCCGCAGAAACACAGCGGAATTTTTTTTTTTTTTTTTTTTTTAAGACGGAGTTTCGCTCTTGTCGCCCAGGCTGGAGTTTAATGGCACGATCTCGGCTCACCCCAACCTCCGCTTCCCAGGTTCAAGCGATTCTCCTGCCTCGGCCTCCCAAGTAGTTGGGATTACAGGTGTGCACCACCACGCCTGGCTAATTGTTGTATTTTTAGTAGAGACAGGGTTTCACCATCTTGGCCAGGCAGGTCTCGGACTCCTGACCTCATGATCCACCAGCCTCGGCCTCCCAAAGTGCTGGGATTACAGGCGCTAGCCACCACCCCTGGCCAACATAGTGGATATTTATGGTAGAAGCTGCTCCAGACAGCCCATGGCTGCATCACACTAGCTGCAGCAAGGAGGTGCCTCCAGAGCTGCATGCTCCATAAAGCCGGTGGGAGGCCCACCCATCTGGGTGCAGTCGCAGCCGCCCAAACATCCCTGCACTGTTTTTGCTGTTATTTTTTGAGACGGAGTCTCCCTCAGTTGCACAAGCCAGAGTGTGGTGGTGCAATCTCGGCTCACTGAAGCATCCTCCTCTGGGGTTCAAACACCCTGCACTCTTGGGGGCACGAAGAAGGCCCCCCCACTGCCCCTGCCCTCACAGGCTCACAAGTCCCTGTTCCCACTGCCTGGCTTCCCCCTGCTATTGGCACCCACTCCGACCTTGGAGCAAAGTCGGGGCCAAACCCTGGGGTCATGAACAGCAGCAAGAGGCAGACGGGTTCCTGGGCTGAAGGAGGCGGGTCCCCAGTGAGGCCCCACCTTCAGGGCCTGAAGGCTGAGGACTGAGGCGCCAGCCCTGTGGACCCGAGTGGAAACTTGTGGTGCCTTTTCCAGGTCCGCCCATGGCTGCCCATGGACCAATCAGCGTGCACTTCCTCCTCTCTGAGGCCCATAAAATCCCTAGGCTGTCAGAGCTGGAGAAGAGATAGGGATGACCAGCTGCAGAGAGGATCTACCCACTCCAGGGCCTCCTCTCTGCTGAGAGGATGGGAAAACCAAGGGATGGCCAGCTGTAGAGAAGAACTACCTTCTCTGCTGAGAGCTGCAGAGACGACAGGACGACCTGCCAGCAGAGAGGAGCCACCCACTCTAGGACCTTCCCTCTGCTGAGAGCTCCAGAGTGGGATGACAACCTGCCCACAGCAAGGTGCTTCCCACTCCAGGGTCTCCTCTCTGCTAGGCCTAAACACTCACTGGAATACCCTGGCTACAGAAAGGAGCTGCCCACTGTAGGTCCCCTGAGTTATTCTATCACTCAACAAAGCTCCTCTTCATCTTACCCTCCACTTGTCTGTGTACCCTCATCCTTCCTGGTTGCAAGGCAAGAACTTGGGACCCACTGAATGGCAAAGCTAAAAGCTGTAACACAAACAGGATTGAAACATGCCCCTTGCTCACCACGTTGTGGGCCAAGGACAGAAAAGCTGCAGCCAGCCCTTCAGGGATCTCACACCTGGGAGCTCCCCAAGCCAAGGCTGTGATTCCCTCTTTGGGGCCCTGTGGTTCCTGGCATCTTCAGCCTTCCGGCCACCACTGCATTCCCCGGTGCCAGCTGGGAAAGCTGCTTATGGTGTGCCTGGTCCAGCTGCAGCCTCGCAGAGAGCTGGCACCTGGAGATGTACACCGCGTGGCAGCAGCTGACTTTGGCTGCACAGTAGCTGGACGCCACACTCGCTCACACACGCCTTGATGCTCCATGCCTGACTCAGTCTCCCTTGGAGGCGTGGGATCCAGGCCAGTAGCGTTAGCTGAGTACAGCCTGCCAGGCCAAGTGGGTGAAAAAGCCCAGTGGGCCCGAGCAAATCTCAGGCAAAGGTGCCACCAGCCACAGGTTTCCAGCCAGAAAAGCAACACCCCCAAGACTGCCTAACAATATTACTGCAGACAATGCAGATTTTAATAGCTATCTTAATTTTGCCAACATGGGAACAGACAGGAAAGGAAAAAGACGTTAGTAGTCTTGCTGAGGCGCCCTACCCCATTCATGGCCAAGGGTGATTTCTGGTCCTATCAAGTACCCCATTCCTCTCTCACATCTCCTTCCTAGAAAGACTACCTTATTACACACAACGAACTGTTACTCAGTTGGCATTATAGAAAACAGCAACAGTCCTTGCTGGAATCTCTAAACCCTAAAATCTTCTTTTAAGCCCTTTGTGTGTGTATATACACATACATATATATACATATATGTGCATGTGTATACACATATATACACATACACACACACATATATATATATATACACACACACACACGCATTTCCCCAAGCTGAATCAGAGATTTACATAAAAGATCCTGCTATGCTCAGGGGAAAGATACTTGTAGTGAGTTAAATTATAGTTTTACAAAAATGGCAAGGTAGATTAGACACCAAACACCACAGTTGGTTAGAAATATTTATTATCCCCTCCCCCCACATACAGATTACTTCTCAGAAACATGAAGATATTATCCATGTCCTCATCAATCAATTACAGTTTGTAGAAAATAAACTTAACTCATATCCCATCAACAATGTATTTCTATCATTTTTTAAACAATAGCCATTTCATTTTTCCATGTTAGTTCCAGAATAGCTTCAAGTTTTATCTTTTGGATCTAATCAAGTCAATCTTTTTTTATAGGTAATAGTTTCCTGACAGATCCCCTCCCCCCAACCCCTAAAAAAATTCTATATCCTAAGTGATAAACTCTTCTTGTACATTCAGCAAACTTTATATTGGAAAAGAAAAAGAGTAATTGAGATAGGTATTTACTTTCGTGCACAGTAATAAATCTAGCTGAGCTGCTACACCTTGCTTTGCAAAGATGTTTACATAAAATAAATCATCTCTTATCAAGTTTACAATGGTAATTTCTTGAAATGTAGATATGAAAGCTATACACTTAATCCACTGAAATTTCCTTCTAATTTTTAAATCTGTAATTAAACCATCACCATAAGAACAAGCTTCATCCCAAGATGTTTCCCCTTTTCCCCTCAGCTATTTCTATCAACTTGAATCCTCTCTCAGATCATGTAAAGAGATACATTAAAAGCACAAGAAAAAAAATGTTTTAGCTTGCTGACATAATGCCCTTAAGTTTGCTGACATAATGCCCACATTTTAACTTTAAAATGTAAAATCAAAGTTAAAGCATCACTTAATTCATACAGTACATTATTAATCAACAGTGTCCCACCAACTCGGAAGTCTCCTAAATTGGCTGTCTTCTCTGTATTTAGTACGTTTATAACCAATGACTCAATCAAAGAATGTGCTTGTAATAGGCTGCTGGTTTAATTTTAGAATCAGAAGTTTCATATTGGGCTACTTTCAAATATAGAAAAGCTATGAGTGACATATGAACTATTAATTTTGTTTCCCATTACCTACAGGAGGAATTTATTCAAATAAAATTTTACAAGACAAAATGCAAATCTATATACCTATATAGAGATGTATATATGTATATATTGAACCTAACTAAAGTTTTATAAGCAATACTAACATAGTTCTGGTTACACATTCCTAAAGACTTAATTCTTTTAAAGATACATGTTATAAAGAGGCTTATGCAAAAGGCAAAAATTAAGAATCAACATGATCTTTGAGGTTTTCAATATTACTTCAAAAAGCTGTTTCTATCCCCCATAGAAGAAAACTATGCATTTGTTTATCTTAGGAAAAAAAAATTATAAAAAGATAATGCTATCATGTAAAGATTCACAAAAACTATACTGTATATCCCATAAGAGTTATACCTACTTAAGGTAAATCACAATTATGGTTTATATTGTATTACAGACATCACCATTGCCTTTCCTCTTTAATAATGAGAGGGTTTAACTTTTTTTAACTTACTTAACTAGTGCCACAGTAAATCAAGTCCCAGTAGCAACAAGTTAAACAAGATTACAAAATAAGGCATTCTGCTCACACGTCAGGAAAGTAACAGGCTTAGTACAGTAAAGCAGGCTCTTATCGTTTTTGCAATTTTATATAATCCAAACATTATATAGAAGGCAATCTTTACTAAAAAATCCAATTAATTGCTGTTTTCCAGGGAAACAGAAAAACATACATAAAATCCTCAACTTTGGCTATTTCTCCTACTACCATAAACAGATGCTGATCTTATCTATTTAATCAAGTCCACTATTAGAAATGTGGATAAAATGTCTTTGACTATACCATTTCTAAGCCTGTAGGTCACACATTAGATGATTTTTCAAATTATAAGTTAAATCTAATATGACAAAATCCCTGTAGTGTTATTTAGGAAAAAAGAAGTGGACTCAGAACATACATACGCGCGCACACACACACATGCCATCATATTAAACAGTTTCTTTAAACATTAAATAGTTCTTCTGAAAGAATAAAAATTCTTTAACATCAAGCTGCAGCATGTGTATAAGGGGCAGCAATGCAACCTTTTTCAGCACAAGGTAAGAATATGAATCAACTTTTAAACAACTAGTACCCTGAACCAAAGATTTTGCCAAAGATGAACTCTAAAATACATGGGGTTTTTTTGTCGTGGAAATTTGGACTCAATTGCCTGTTGCCACTTTTACATTAAGTGTTGCTTAAACAAACAAAAATAGAGCATAAATTCAATATTCTACTGTCTAAACATTTTAAAGCAATGGTTATGCCATCATCAACAGGTAAAATGCACCTAATTTGGGTCTTTTGACACCTCTTGTTTTAAGTTTACTGTATGATAAAGTTCTTCACAGTTTAAAATATTGTGAAGAAACATATTTATGTTTAACTATATTCACATACACATTATGTACATGTACTATGTCTTTGTTATACCCATAAACTTCGAGTATGTGTGTATCAGTAGGATACCCCACACATATGCAGGAACCCTGAATAATATGGTTGGTGTGGACTGTGAAATGATTTCCCAGAAAGGCTTAGAAAGAAGAAAAGAATGTTGTTATGAATAATTATAATAACAAAAAATTTTACCTTATTTACATAGTGCCTATCTCCCAAGAGGTAAATATGCTTTACAGACATTTTTTAGTAACTCTGTGAGGTGGGGCATTGGGGACACTATCAATTCTCATTTTCCACAAGCAAGTAAACTACTCAGGACCACACACTTTAACAGTGGTAGAGTAAAATACAGACATGGAGATCTCCTAAATCCCAAAGTCTCCAATTACCAGATCAAATAGTCTTGTGGTAGTAATAAGATTTCCATCATTCAACAGAACTCCTACCACAAAGGATTAATTTCTAAGTCCTCATACACTTGTGATTGTGCGTCATATTTATATCACAGGGAGATCAAAATGGTTTTTGGTTTTGGCAGATGAAAAAGTCTAACATTCAGTGTGATTATACTTCAGTGTAACTTCTCCAGTTTAAGTGCGACACAGCTGATTGGTCTGTCAGGGAGATGCGGTCAACGTCTAATCATGGCTGAAGAGTTCTCAATCCAAACAGCTATTGCATGATTACAGAGATAGCCTACAATCTTTTATTGTCTTAAAGGTCTTTTCTATCTCCACATATGGTATACACATATAAATAAGCATTTTAGCACAAAATGTACAGTTACCATCAGTTCATGTTTAAATAAACAAAGGCCTTAAGGGTGAACTTTAAAGGCCAAGAGCTCCTCAGAGTGCATGTTGTTTAAAGATCGAAGATCTGGCAACTTTAGAAGCAGTTTTGTAAAAATAGAGGCCTCATTTGGATGGTTTTTCATTATTAAGGTCCTTAGTGCACGAATGAGAGTTTCCTGCAAAGCCTCCACAGAGTTGACGTTTTCTATTCCAGATCGATCTAAGAGAGATCAGGAATAGGGAAATATGAAAGACAGGATAAATTATTAACATTAAATATAAATAAAATTCTTGCTCATCAGTGTCACTAATGAACAGAAAACAAGGTTTTATACATTTGAATAAAGGCAAAAGTTGACAAATTTCTCAAAATCTCAGTAACAAGTCGTTAGCTAGTTACTATATATTATAAAGCATATATATCACAAAAACATTTGATAAACCAAAATTCTTTACTGCTTAAGAATTTTTATTCACAGAAACAGAGGTTCTGACTTTTTAAAATTAGATGTCATCTGATTTCAACTGCTTCTAATTAGCAAAATAAAATAATGTAGTATATAAACATATTTTCAATACATATGGAATATACTCCCATTTGTATGTCACCACGTGTGGTAGGCAGTCCCTAAAATGGCCTCCAATGATCCCCTCATCCTGGTATTCACACCCTTGTGCAATCTCCTCCTATTAAGTGGACCGAGACTTACTAAATTCTAATGAAAAAAAGTATGGCAAGAGTGATAGGATGTCAGTTCTGAGATTAGCTTATGAGAAACTGTGGCCTCCATCTTAGGTACACTCTAGGTCACTTACTCTGAGAAAAACCGCTGCCATGCTGTGAGCCACCCTGTGGAGAGGCCCACCCACATGGCAAGGAACTAAGAGTGGGCTCTAGCCAACAGTCAGCAAGGAACTGAGGTGCTCAGTCCAATAGCTTGCAAGGAACTGAAACTTGCCGATAACTACATACAAGTGAAAGTAGATCCTTCCCTACTCAAGCCTTCATATGAGACCACAGCCCTGTCCTCAACTTAACCTCCTAAGAAACCCTGAGTCAGAGGCACGTATCATATCCTATCTCTCATATCATATCTTAACTCTCAAAAACTGTGAGATTAAATGTTTGCATTTGCAAGCCCCCGAATTTTGGGACAATTTGTGATGCAGTTATAGGTAACTAATACACTATGCAACTTTATTGCTATGTTACCCTACATTCACTTTCATTTAGCATATTGTGTTTATTAAATTTCTCATACAATATGTTAATAAACCAGTCATTTGGCATAAGCCTGCAATAAAGTATCTTAAAATTAGGCAAACCTATATAAGTCACCCATAGACTTTTTCATCAGCAAAAGTATTTCTTTCCCTTTGTAACAGGAGGCAGGAGTACACAAAAATATTCAACGGTCCCCCAGATGGGAGGTTGTAATTAACAAGAAAAAGACTTCTAACTTCTACAAGGAAGCAATACTTCTGGCCATTCATTCCCTTTCGTTTTTTAACAAGGATATTGAGGAGGTCTTCCATTATAAGTGGTAGCTGAAAAAGGTCATTTGCAATGCAAGCACTTAAAACAAGGACTAAAATTTAATAGTAAAGGGCAAAAAAAGAAAGGTTTGATTAACTCTAAATGCAGAAAAATGATAAAAAATAAGTTTATCTTTTTTTTTTTTTTTTTTTGAGATGGAGTCTTGCTCTGTTACCCAGGCTAGAGTGCAGTGGCGTGATCTCGGCTCACCACAACCTCCACCTCCCAAGTTCAAGCAATTCTCTGCCTCAGCCTCCTGAGTAGCTGGGATTACAGGCGCCCACCACCACACCCGGCTCATTTTTATATTTTTAGTTTCACCATCTTGGCTAGGCTGGCCTTCAACTCCTGACCTCATGATCCACCTGCCTTGGCCTCCCAAAGTGCTGAAATTACAGGCATGAGCCACTGCACCTGGCCAGTTTATCTTATATTTCAAAATTTGAATATTATAACTATGTGCTAATTCTTTCTTGGGAAAAAAAGGCCAGGCATGATGGCTTACACCTGGAACTCCAGCACTTTGGAAGGCCGAGGCAGGAGGATGGCTTGAGCTTAGGAGTTTGAGATCAGCCTGAGCAACATAGTGAGACTTTAGTCTCTACTAAAAAAAAAGTTAATTGAATGTGCATGATGACACATGCCTATAGTCCCAGCTACTTGGGTGGCTGAGGTGGGAGGATCACTTAAACCCAGGTCAAGGTTGCAGTGATCCATGATCATTCCACTGCACTCCAGTCTGGGTGACTCAAAAAACAAAAAGAATGTTGGGGCAGGACGTGGTGGCTCATTCCTGTAATCCTAGCACTTTGGGAGGCCAAGGCAGGTAGATCACTTGAAGTCAGGAGTTCGAGACCACATGGTGAAACCTCGTCTCTACTAAAAATACAAAATTTAGCCAGGCATGCTGATTGGCATCCGTAATCCCAGCTACTTGGAAGGCTGAGGCACGAGAATCGCTTGAACCCAGGAGGCGGAGGTTGCAATGAGCTGAGCTCATGCCACTGCACTCCAGCCTGGACAACAAGAGTGAGACTTGACAAAAAAAAAAAAAAAAAAAAGTTGGATATTGGTTTGTGGGGGGAGGGGGAGGGTCACAATTTTTCAGACAAAACTACTGGCAGAGATCTCTTTCTCTTGACATTTAACTTTGGCCAATCATAAGTTATCTTTATAAAAATAAAGCCTTCAGTAATGCTTTGAAGAGTCTCTCTTGCCTTTGATAGTCAAGTAATTGTTTTTTTTAAATAACCTCCTTTCACTTGAAGAAATCGTTTGCCAAACATTTATTAAATATATGTACTGGTTACTGTTCTAAGGTGCTTGGAAATCAGCACTGAACAAAACCAGAAATCCTTTAAGGAGCTTACATTCTGACAGAACAAAATAGTCATGTGCCACCTAACAACGTTTCAGTTAATGGCAGACCACATATAAAAGGGTGGTCCCATGAAATTATAACGTTGCTGAAAAATTCCTATCGCCTAGTGACGTTGCAGCTTTTGTCATAACATCATAGCACAACACATAACTAACACGTTTATAGTGATGCTGGCGTAAGCAAACCTATTACACTTAATAATAGTAAACAACTATATTACTGATTTAAGTATTTACTATACTATACTTTTTATCATTATTTTACAGTATAGTCCTTCTACTTTATTTTTTGTTATTTTTTGAGAACTCCTGACCTCAAATGATCCACCAGCCTGGGCCTCCCCAAGTGCTGGGATTACAGACATGAGCCACCTCGCTCATCCCTTCTACTCAAAAAAAAAAAGGTAACTGTAGAGCAGCCTCAGGCAGGTCCTTCAGGAGATATTCCTGAAGAATGCACTGTTATCATAGAAATATAGAAGGTGATAGATGGTGACAGCTCCATGCATATTACTGCTCCTGAAGACCTTCCAGTAGAACAACACATAGAGGTGGAAGACAGTGATATTGATGATGCTGAGCCTGTGTAGGGCTAAGCTAATGTGTCTGTCACAGTTTTTAACAATAAAGTTTAAGAAGTAAAAAAATAAATTATAAATAGAAAAAAGCACACAGAATAAGGATATAAAGAAAATATTTTTGTATAGCTGTACTATGTATTGTTTTTAAGCTAAGTGTTACTACAAGACTCAAAAAGCTTTTAAAAATTTAAGTTTATAAACTAAAACGGAGTAAGCTAGGGTTAATTTATTCCTGAAGAAAAAAACTTTCAAAAAATGTAGTGTACCCAAAGTGTTCAGTGTTCATTAGGTCTATACTCATGTATGGTAATATCCTAGGCCTTCACATGCCCTCATCATTCATTCACTCATTCATCCAGAGTAACTTTCAGTCCTGTAAGCTGCATTCATGGTAAATGCCCTACACAAGTATACCAGCTTTTATCTTTCATATCTATTGTTACTGTACCTTTTCTTTGTTTAGATATGTTTAGACACACACATACTTATTATGTTACAAACTGCCTACAGTACTCAGCACAGTAACATGGTGTACAGGTTTGTAGCCTAGTAACAATAGGCTGTACCATAAAACCTAGGTGTGTAGTAGGAAATACCATCTAGGTTTATATAAGTACACTCTATGATGTTCACACAAGGACAAAATTGCCTAACAACGCGTTTCTCAGAACATATTTATGTCATTAAGTGACACGTAACTCTGGTTTCACTCATATGATTAGTAATTTATAATACCGAAAGAACGACAGTAATTCTCACAAACAAAATAATCTACATGGGCAAAGAAAGAAACAACTGATAAGAGGCGAAGATACCTGAGTGGGAACTAGTATTATTAGTAGTTAGTTGGACAGGTGTAGGAAGTCACACAAAAAATTTAAAAATGTTTTTAAGTCATTGGTCTTTCAGTGGCTATTTTGTGCTTACATGACCTATGCTTTGTTATACAACTCACAACTTCAGGGAAATCGGTGCCTACATCTAAAACCATAGATTGTATTAAATTTTTCTAAAGTCTCAATTTCTAAAACCATGGTTTTTAAGATTTCCAGGCCAAAGAACCTAAGGTACAAACCTGGTTGGATGGTAAATAATCTTCTGAAGACTATAATGTTAAGAGCACACATGTTGAAGTGGAAATTCATCTTCTAAATGGTGCACTAAATGCTACACTAGTACTGTAGAGTTTAACTTATTACATATCTATCTTCTCTCCCTTTGCTGGTTCTTCATCACACTCCCAAGCTTGTACTCCTCACCAAATATTCTATTTATTTTCACTTCCTACACGATGAAAGTCAAACCTTCAACAAAAATCTCTATGAAGACAACTAAAATCTGTATGTAAATGAGCCTTGACCTCACACCTACATGCCAGTCCTTAACCTTCAACTGGAAGTAACTGCTGTTACTTTAAACAACCTGAAAAGAAACTCACCTTCCAGGTATAATCCCCCTTCCATGGTATCGGGATTCTTCCAATCTTACAGGCAAACATCATGTTTGAGATTTTTCTCCCCCTTGGCAGCTAGAGCTATTCTGTTAACAAGTAGTATAATGGAAAGGCTTTGAAGCCAGACTAATGGGAGTTCAAATACTTGCTTAGCCAGTAATTAAAAATGGACGTTGGGTAAATTACTTAATCCCTCTCCTCTTCCTCAAATCCCTTATCTGTATAACTGTGAATAACATGTCCCAGCTCACAGGGATCTACTGTGAGGATAAAATTATATAATGATACATAGAAATTAGCATTTCTTCTGACAACCCCAAAACAACAGAAGACAACTATACATTCCCAAAAAGAAAAAGCTATTTTAAAGATAAAGCAAACTATGTTACTTAATTCTAAACAATTAATAGACAACTGAAATAAACTATCCATTCATTCCCTGATACAAGGAACATCACCTTTCAAGGTGCAGAGGTTTGGAGAAGAGGTTTCCATTATTCTTTACCATTTCAACCTCACTGTGTGAACACTGTAAGTAGTATTCACACAATCATAATACTATAAATGCTGACTTTTAACTTTTCAACTTTGGGAATCAACTGATCAAACCATGACAAACAGTTATAGAACAAGATATAAATGTTTTAATTGACTACATAAAAGGAATGTTACAGCAAAGTCAGAGTACAGAGGAAAAACAGTGTCTTTGAACAATGAAGAGATTCTATCTAAACTATCCAAAAGATTATATATAAGGTCAAAAAATGTGAGTATATTAAAATTACAAATAAAATCATTAAATTACAAAACAAAACATAAGAAAATTGAGAGGGAAAAGGATACTTTTATTTATAAGTTATACTTACTAAATAAAAAGAGGTATTGGCTGGGCATGGTGGCTCACACCTGTAATCCAATACTTTGGAAGGCCAAGGAGGGTGGATCACCTGAGGTCAGGAGTTCAAGACCAGCTTGGCCAACATGGCAAACCCCCGTTTCTACTAAAAATGCAAAAATTAGCTGAGCATGGTGGTGGGCACCTGTAATCCCAGCTACCTGGGACGCGGAGGTTGCAGTGAGCTGAGATCATTGCACTCCAGCCTGGGCGACAAGAGTAAGACTCCGTCTCAAAAAAAAAAAAAAGAGAGATATACAGATATAAGCATTGTATTCAGAGTTGGGTCGTCAACAACCAGAAATTAAAAAGAAGGATGTTAAGAAATCCAGTTTTCTGAGGAATCAGGCTGGCAGTAGAGGAAAGAAGCAGAGACTTTTCATTTTAAACTCTTCTGTAGCTTTTGAATTTTATTTTCCTGCCTAGATACTGCTTAAAAACAGCTAGTAATTTATGCTGCTGTTTGGCTGGGCACAGTGGCTCATGCCTGTAACCCCAGCACTTTGGGAGGCCGCGGCGGGCAGATCACCTGAGGTTGGGAGTTCGAGACCAGCCTGACCAACATGGAGAAACCCCGTGTCTACTAAAAATACAAAATTAGCCAGGCGTGGTGGCACATGCCTGTAATCCCAGCTACTCTGGAGGCTGAGGCATGGGAACTGCTTGAACCCGGGAGTGGGAGGTTGTGGTGAGCAGAGATCAAGCCACTGCACTCCAGTCTGGGCTACAAGAGTGAAACTCCATCTCCAGAAAAAAAAAAACAAACAACAACAACAACAACAAAAAAGCTAGTAATTTTTAAGTGGTAAGGATTAAAACTTTACATGAAACTTCAAAAATGTGTACTTGTATTGTTCATATAGTGACCTAACAAAAAAGAGAATGCACTGTATTCTTTTACAATCACTCTTTTGCACTTAATATTTCCATTTTTAAAATATATCCTACATAAACAAACAGGTGAATGGATAGATGGATAGGTAAATGGATAAAGACCCCCAATATTAATAGTGATCTTTTCTGGTAGTGATATTATAACCTTTTTTTTTTTTACATTTTAATATGTTCTACACTTTCAAAGAACCCATATTAAATTTATAATCAGAAAAAAAAGGCTTTTTCAAAAACAGATTAAATCAAACTAAATATGCTCCTAGAGAAAATATAAATGAAATAACAAAGTTCCTGGCATAGAGAGTTTCCCTCTACCCCTTTGCTGTCATTTCTTTCTCTGAACTACCTCTGGGATGTTGGCCCTGCTACTTCATCTCACCTGCCTTAATTTATTTGAGAAGAGCTCACCCCACTGCCTCATACCTGGTGTCCTTTCAAAAGCTTCTCAACCTAACTCTCTAGCACTAATAACTTACCAATCTAATCCGCCCACCACAATAATAATGCAGAATTAATGCTAAACATCACTTTGTTCAACCGGATCACTCTCCTACTTAAGAAGGTACACAGACTTTCTTCTGCCCCATATTTTGCTTAAAACCTCTCTGCTTAGTTCTCATAGCTGTTAGTCCATAACCTGGTGCTCCCCTAACTCTGAAGGCTTTTGTCCCCCTTCCTCCTTGATGTACACTCCAGGCTTTGGCCACCTAACCTTTCCCTGGCCCTATCTCGTACTCTCCCATGCATTTCCATCTCTTCTTCATTGGGAAAGCCTAATAATTCAACCTTCAAATTCCAGCTGCACTTCTATCTTTCCCCACAGAGCCTTCCAAGATGATTTCATCTTCCTTTCTACAACTCCAACTTACCTCAGTCAGAACTACACGGTTTAGTAGCATAAAGCTCTTTGTGTAGTTCCATCTCTCCAAATAGAATGAAAACACTTAGCAAGCTTGTGCCTTAAAGCTTTTTGTCTCCCCCTGAGCACCTAGTAGGTAAGGCATATTCATCAGATAAGTAATTTAACAAGTATTGATTATCTTTGGTTTCAAAATAATCAATTTATTAATCTGATGTCAACTCAAACCAATACTAATTACTTATCAAGAGATTCTGCAAATGATAGGTAAAATGCAAGAAGCATTATAAGTTAGCAATAAAACAGATATCCCTTATTGACATATTCTTTCATACTACTCCCATGTTATACAAACATTTTCAGTTATCCAGGTAGAGCTGGTCAGAAAAGGTAGCCAAATTATGTTACCAAATGGCATGTCTTTATTCTGCTGAAGTAAGGTCCTTAAAATTATACAAATAACTTGTTCTCTCTTTTTTTTTTTTTTTTTTTTTTTTAAAGACGGAGTCTCGTTCTGTTCCCCAAGCTGGAGTGCAGAGGCGTGATCTCAGCTCACTGCAACCTCCGCCTGCCGGGTTCAAGCGATTCTCCTCCTGAGTAGCTGGGATTACAGGCATGTTCCACCATGCCCAGCTAATTTTTGTATTTTTAGTAGAGATGGGGTTTCACCATGTAGGCCAGGCTGGTCTCAAATTCTTGACCTCAGGTGATCTACCCGCCTCAGCCTCCCAAAGTGCTGGGATTACAGGCGAGAGCACCCACGCCCAGCCAAGAACTTGTTCTCTTTAAAGAGCTACTAATTTATGGTTTCGTCACATAATCAGAGGCCATAACTTATAACTCTCACAATGCCTAGCACCGTGCCCTTTACATAGTAGGAAGCAAATGGGAAACAAAGTTATAACCAAATACTAAAAAATTTCCAACAAATGTTGGAAATAAAACGATACCTAAAAATAGCTGGCACTTACTTAGACATACCCAGGAAAGTGTCTCAATTTCCAATTTGTTATTGGGAGTAACAATCTCTGCCTTAATGGGTACTGTCTGAATCAAAACACTTTAGGTCAGAAATAACTGTAATGTTAATGCAAGATGGCAGGGACATTGGGAAACATCATAAATGACTCATATAAATAAACATTAAAAACTCAAAAATCTTGCTCACTCATTCAAATAGTGACTGAGTAGCTCTTCTATGCCAGACACCATACTAGGCTCACATGGTACAACCCCTTCCTTTGACAGGATGAGGAAGGAATCCAAGACCCAAAAGAGTAAAGTTACTTACCCAAGTTACCCACAAAATTCAATGGCAGAGCTGGACTAAAGCCTAAAACTAATTCACATTTCTCTGCAACAAACCATACTAATACCTCTTGATACGTTTAATGTTTTCAACTGTCCCACATTGTATCTGAATAAAAACTGGAATTCATATTAGAACCACCTACCTGGAGATACATACTGTTCTAACAAATCCATGAAATAAAGATTTAGACTCATAAAAAAAAATTATGAACAAAAAGCTAAAGACTAACAGTGGTAAATACAAGGTCTAGATATAAGTACTACTTTATTCCTATAGCACTTTGACATGTATTGTTATAATGAAAAAATTAGTTACATAAAAATAACAGGGTCATACAACTTAGCATCTTCCTTAAGGCCTTATTCCCTCCATATAACTTTCTGGAACCTGTTAAATGCCACCTTCTCCTGAGTTGGTCACTATATGCTAGGTGTGGCACAATTTTGAACCACCTTGCTTACCTGCCGACACCAGGACAACAGCTGTAAACAAACTCATCTCTTCATCACTAAGTTGGAGGGCATTTAGCTTCTCACTAAATTCAAACATAGAGTTTAGCAGATCCCCTGCTCCCATTGAGTGTAAATCATCCACACTATATTTCTTTCCACTTAAAAAGGTGACAGTACGTTCCTTTGCATCAAATAATGATGCAAACCGTACCATTAAAACCTGTAAAAGGAAAAAGAAATGTATTTGGAGAAGTCTAACAGCAATAATAAATAACTTAGTATTCAAGTCAGTTATGAATCATCCCACACATATAAAAGAAAGTTATCAAAGAAAAACACGGTTTACTTTTACTCAAAGCCATTTTATTTTTTTGTTTTATTTTATTTTATTTTTAGACAGAGTTTCACTCTTGTGGTCCGAGCTGGAGTGCAATGGCGTGATCTCGGCTCACTGCAACCTCCACCTCCCAGGTTCAAGCAATTCTCCTGCCTCAGCCTCCCAAGTAGCTGGGATTACAGGTGCGTGCCACCACATTTTAGTAGAAACAGGGTATCACCATGTTAGCAAGGCTGGTCTCAAACTCCTGACCTCAGGTAATCCACCCGCCTCGGCCTCCCAAAATGCTGGGATTACAGGCGTGAGCCACCACGCCCAGTGATTTTATTTTTTGAGACGGAGTTTTCTTCTTGTCGCCCAGGCTGGAGTGCAGTGGTGCGATCTTGGCTCACTGCAACCTCTGCCTCCTGGGTTCAAGGATTCTCCTGCCTCAGTCTCCCAACTAGCTGGGATTACAGGCACGCACCACCATGCCAGCTAATTTATGTTTTTAGTAGGGATGGGGTTTCATCACGTTGACCAGGCTGGTCTCAAACTCGTGACCTTAGGTGATCCGCCCGCCTCACCCTCCCAAAGTGCTGGAATTACAGGCATGAGCCACCACACCCGGCCTATTTATTTACTTATTTATTTATTGAGACAGGGTCTTGCTCTGTTGCCCAGGCTGGAGGTGCCAACACAGCTCACTGCAACCTCAACCTCCCAGGCTCAAGTGATCCTTCCCACCTCAGCCTCCTGAATAGCTGAATACAGATAAACATCACCACACCCAGCTAATTTTTTTTTTTGGAGAGATAGCGTTTCACCATGTTGCCCAGGCTGGTCTCAAACTCCTGGACGCAAGTGATCGGCCTGCCTTGGCCTCCCAAAGTGCTGGGATTACAAGGATGAGCTACCACACCCGTCCCAAATCCACTTTCTTAAGACAAATTCTCTACCAAAGTAATAAATACTCCAAGAAGAACATCAAAAGAAATTATAGCCACTGATGGCAAAGATACTCTGCCACTCTATTAACAAAGATTCTGAAATGCAATATAAAATTAGAGCAAGAAATAGTGCCAGTAAATTTAAAACTGGGCCCTGGCCAAAGGCATTAAAGAAACTCTTTAGGCTGCCAAGTATACCACATGGCCTCTATGCCTTAAGTAAAAAGAGCAAAATTCCAATGCAGCAACACTTCGAAACATCAACACATCAAATGCAGCCAAGGCAAAGGAAGCAGATGAAGTCTAACTGAACTGCTTCAAGAAACCATAACCCAAAGAGACTATCCACAAAGAAAGCTATCACAGTAAGTGTTCTAAGCGCCATGTTATAATTGACATCCAAGTTAAATCAGCTAACAATTATATTACTTAGTTATCTCACTCCCTCCGTTATACTAGATCCAGGGAGAAGAAGTGAAAATACAGCCCTGGCTCACTTCTCCCATCCATCAAAGGTTCAAAGATTTGGCCCACTGAACATCAACTTCTTCTCACCAACCCAATTTCAGAGTTATCCTTAATTAGGTCCCAAGGCATCTCACACCTTGGCAGCAAAAGGGATGCCCTGGGGCAGACAGAAAGTGAAAGACACCTAATTAAGAACCAGGAGAGGCACTTCTTTAAGTTATACAGTAGAGACTACCCCAAGCTCAGGCAGGATACAGTGTTGCAAGAGAAGCAGGACAGAAAAGTAGCCAAGGATCCTGAAGCAAGGTGAAGCCAGGAGGAGCTAAGGTGGCACACAAGAAAAGTCTGACATATCCCCAAAATATTCTACAGTCTCTCAAAAAACAAAAACCACATTCTATTTGCCCTTCTTATTCTGTATCGAATACAATAAATGCTAGGCTAGGCTTTCAGGAGGTGTCTAACACTGCAGAAACTTGTTAAGTCCACATCTGAAAGGAATACTAGAACTTAGGCGTTCATATGCTGGAGATACAGAATACCTATATTTCAAATCCTAAATAAGTAAAAAATAAACACAAAATCCTAAACAATTCTGGATTTACCAAGTCTCTTCCCAAAACCCTGAGATGATGATGATTTTGTTGATAGCTTCAGACTCTGGACTATAAATACTGACTTAGAAAAGAATGAAAACATCTGCCGGGCACAGTGGCTCACACCCGGAATCCCAGCACTTTAGGAGGCCAAAGTGCACAGATCGCTTTGAGCTCAGGAGTTTGAGACCAGCCTGGGCAACATGGCAAAACTCTGTTTCTACAAAAAAAAAAATTACAAAAAAAAATTAGCCAGGCGTGGTGGTTCACACCTGTAGTCCCAGCTACTCAGGAGGCTGAAGCTGGAGAATGCTTGAACCTAGGAAGCAGAGGTTGCAGTGAGCTGTGATCGCGCTACTGCACTCCAGCCTGGGTGACAGAGCAAGATTCTCTCTCTTAAAAAAAAAAAAAAAAAGAATTAAAACATCCATGAAAACAAAATACTACATGCCCTGCCTGCATCAATATTCAGGATAAATAAAACCTACCTCAAAAGTCCCAGCCTTTAAAAGGTTGACCTGGTCATGCTGAGAGAGATCTCTGAACCCAGGAATACGCTTTGCAAATTCCACCACTTCTTTCACCGCTGGAGTGAAGCTCATTGAAAATTCTTCCCAGATTTCATGTCCCGATTTATGAGGATCCACATAAGGAGACTTACTCATTGGACAAACCTGGTATACACAAAACGGAAAAACTCTTAAATACTAAGAGGTGGTAAAGAAATGTCAAAAGCGGCATCTCAATTATCAGAAACCCCAACATGAATTTAACCCCCAAAACACAAGTAAAATCTACTGAAATATTAGCACTTCATCCATTTGCTGCCCACCACACTGTAGAAAGCCTCCTGGCAACCTAATATAAATAGCAGTTAACTTATCATTAAAAAAACATAGCCTAAGCAAAAATACCATCTATATCAAGCTATTTCAAACACCTGTTGCACAGGTTTAAGAGTTTATTTTGTTTAACACTGCTGCCACCTTATGCTAGTATATGGTGTTTTATAATTTTGCAAACAAATTCACTTGTTTGATTCTCAATCTGTTATTTATGGCAGACTATAATTTCCATTTCTTAGGTAGAGAAATGAGACTCCGAGAGGTTTAGTGATTTGTCCAACACAGCTAGAAGTCACAGGTCTAGGCCCAAACTCACATTTAGTTAATATTTCAAAAATCCCTTATTTCTAAATAGGCAGAATTACAATGTTGTAATTTCCAAGAGGAAAAAACAGCAAGGTGTCTCATTTTGTTAAAAAGGTCACTCACTGCCTGGCCGGGCGAAGTGGCTCACGCCTGTAATCCCAGCACTTTGGGAGGCCGAGGCAGGCGGATCACAAAGTCAGGAGTTCGAGACCAGTCTGGCCAACATGGTGAAACCCCGCCTCTACCAACAATTAAAAAAATTAGCCAGACATGGTGGCGTGCACCTGTAGTCCCAGCTACTCAGGAGACTGAGGCAGAAAAATCGCTTGAACCAGGAGACGGAGGTTGCAGTGAGCCAAGTTCATACCACTGCACTCCAGCCTAGGTGACAGAGTGAGACTCAAAAAACAAAAAGAAAAAAAAAGTCACTGCCCATTTGTTTCAAAAACAATGGTGTGATCACTGACTTCTACTTGTTCAATTAGGAAACAAAGACTGCACATACAGGTGCGCCTTCTAAATGAGGATTAGGTGAGGGAAAACAGGAAGCCAAGAAGTTATTTAAAAAACACCAAAAAGATGATGAAACACATTCTGTATATTCTATTAGTAAAATCAGCCTTTAAATTTTCACTAAATCCACACAAAATCTAGGAATGGGATGATTACAAAACCATGGAGAATATCATGAAATCAGAACCCAAATGCCTACAGAATTTTCCTTCATCAAGGCAGCCACTTGGCTAGGCATGGTGGCTCAAGCCTGTAATCCCAGCACTTCTGGAGGCCGAGATGGGCGAATCACTTGAGGCCAGGAATTCAAGACCAGCCTGGCCAACATGGTGAAACCTGTCTCTACTGAAAATACAAGAATTAGCCAGGCATGGTGACACACACCTGTAATCCCAACTACTCGGGGCACAAGAAGTGCTTGAACCCAAGAGGTAGAGGTTGCAATGAGCTGAGGTCGCACCACTGCACTCCAGCCTGGGCAACAGAGCAAGACTGTCTAAAAAAAACAAAACAAAACAAAACACAAAAAAGCAACTACTTAGCCTAACATAAGGTCCACAGATTCAAATAACTGCAAGTGACAACAAAAAATTTAATGAAGATTGAGGTAGAGTCAACTATTTTGAAAATGAAAAAGACGACTTTAATTACCTGTCAGTAGAAAATACCAAGCACTATCAAAGGACCTCATGGTTTAAACTGGAAATGGTGTGGTACTGTTGTTTTTGATGGAATTTTGGCTGAATATGAACACTGTACTTTCATGTAGAATGTCGTATTTGATGGAAAAATAGAAAAGCTTGAATGATATGACCAACATTAAGTCATCTCATAAGATGAAGTTTGAGAAAATCCTTAGAAACTAGCCTATGAAATTAAAATACTCCTAAATTTATCAAACAATAAAACATCTATGTTCTATACCCAAAGATCTTTTGGCATAAAAATGGTTTTTAAAAAAAAAAAACCTCTTTCTATAGAAATCAAAGAATTTTTAACTATGGCAAGCGAAAAGTTCAGCCCTTTGAGAAAATCCCAAAGCTAGTAAGGTACTAATTAATCAGAATGCTTAAATTTTCAAAGGGATTTCCAAGAATTAAAGGACCAATTGTGCATGAATAATATTTTACATAAAATCCTAATCCCAATCCCAGATCAATCAAATCACATGCTTGTACCTAGCTGGGTGTGAAATTAGGTCACTCATCAAATGATGTTTATTAAAATTATTTGACCTAAAATACTGTACAAAATTAAGTCTGTAAATTCCTTAGGTTTTCTGACACCATCCCCCCAGGTTAGCATATCTCCCAAATAAAATTTTCAAAGCTTTCCCTGATACAATGTAAGCAAAAAATTGATTTCACTATACCAGATGCATTCTCCCTCCAGTGTTGCACAGGTAACTATTCTTGTTCTCATTCTGAGAAAATCCATCTATCGGAACTCTATCACATACTCTTTGAGTATAAGCATTGGAGAAGTTCATACAATGTCCATTTGCAATACAAATGGCATGCCCATTTGGGTAATGCATTATGTTTCTCCCTTTAAACTGTCCATTGAGATGCTGCTGGCTCTCACTACAGGGAAAATGGCTGCTAAGCCCATTGCCACAATGATCATGATTTAAATTATATTGCTCCATGTTCTTGGGAATCCGTTCTCCTCTCTGGGGCTGCATGCTCTCAGCTGAGTTTTCTCGCTGCTCTTGATTATACATAAAGGTATCCTTGTGAGCTCTGGTCACCATGCCAATCACTTCTTCCTTTGCAAAATCAGAAGAGGGAGGAGAAGAGCTTTTGATGTTTTCTTGTTCCAGTTGGGGCTTGGGTCGCAGCTGTTCCTGAGCTGGTAAGGTTGTCTGTTCATGATGTTCTACTAATGTGTCATTTTGCAAGTGACCACTGAATTGGCTGTTCATCATGGTCTTCATCGCACTTTGCATTTCAATTAGCATCCTCTGTTTTTCACGCTTAGGAATACGACCAAACCGAACAGCTATTGAAGAAAAAGATATTTAACATCTATATTCTAAATAAGACTTGTTTTGTATAAAAGAATAACACAAAATTATCCAATAGCTATGGCCTCTAGTCATACATATAAAGAATGAGTCTACACGTTTCTGGTTCACATTTTTCTAAACGTGCTGGTCTTGATACACCAAAGGAAGTAGGAGAAGGAGAGAAAATTTTCCAGTTTCCCCCAAAACAAAGTTAAGGAAATGTATCTCCTACGTATTTTATAAGCAAAGTCTAAGAAAAGAAATAGGAAATTTGGACGGGCACAGTAGCTCATGCCTGTAATCTCAGTACTTTGGGAGGCTGAGGTGGGTGGACTGCCTGAGGTCAGGAATTTGAGACCAGTCTAGCCAACATGGTGAAACCCCATCTCTACTAAAAATACAAAAAGTAGCCAGGTGTGATGGCGGTCGCCTATAGTCCCGGCTATTCTGGAGACTGAGGCAGGAGAACTGCTTGAACCCAGGAGGCAGAGGTTGCAGTGAGCTGAGATGGTGCCAAAGCACTCCAGCCTAGGCGACAGAGCAATACTCCATCTCAAAAAAAAAAAAAGAAAGAAAAAGAAAAAAGAAATAGGAAATTAGCTAATGAAAACCAGTTTGAAGCAGACCAGTATTACTACACAGCTCCTTACTAACAAAGCTGAGGACTGTTCCCAGGAAGGCATGTGATTCAGCTACATACATTCATTACCATTAATGGAACCTGGTAGGTACAATCATTCCCTGAACACCTGGCCCTTGTCAATTCATTTTTTGTAACTTTACTCTCAAGATTTAACTATTAAATTATCTGCTGTCTTCTTTTCCAGCCTCTTTAAAAAAAATCCTTAAAAAAAAATTCCACAACCAGCAGAAATGTACTTACTGAAAAATAAACTTGGTAGATTTTAATTAAAACCAGTGAAATAACTAAAAATGAGATAAGTCATCCTCTACTCTTTTAGAAACTAGTCTTAGGTGTCTTGTCTCCAATAATCCTATTGGAGACTAGGAGAAACAAAAGCTTCCTTCTAGTCTAGTATTATACAGAGACAATAAAAATTCAGTATACTTGCCCAGAAAGCCTTGTTAATCTAATCGTAGCCTCTGACATTACTGCTTTCAAAAACAAACAACTTAATCATGTTTGATACTTTACCTCTACTCCTCCCTTCACAAATGATTGTCAGTTTTATTCTTTTAGGACAATCACAATATCCATCGACTATTTTTATAGCACTAGTACTTTTAGCATTAAAAAAAAATTTTCAGGCAATTGAAAAAACATCAATTGCTGAAACTTGTTACTCAAGGAACCCTTGGCCAGGCGTGATGGCTCACACCTGTAATCCCAGCACTTTGGGAAGCCGAGGCAGGTGGATCACTTGAGGTTAGGAGTTCAAGACCAGCCTGGTCAACATAGTGAAACCCCGTCTCTACTAAAAACACAAAAATTAGCCGGGCGTGGTGGTGCATGCCTGTAGTCCCAGCTATTCGGGAGGCTGAGGCAGGAGAATCGCTTGAACCAGGTAGGCAGAGGAGGTAGCAGTGAGCTGAGTAGGCACCACTGCACTCCAGCCTGGGCAACAGAGCAAGACCATCTCAAAAAAAAACACGAAACTCCTTATTGCAATATTCTATGTCTGTATCAGTAAGATACTAGAGTAACCTAAGGAATTGCTTAAGTGGGCCTTCCCTAGATAAATACGAAGTTCATTTTTAACAATTCTTAAATAACCCTACTGGTCCCTCTGAAAACCTCATACCTGTTGTTACTTAAAACCACACACACACACACACAAAAATTATCCAAAAAATGAATAAGCATAATAGAAGAGTCCAATCTTACAATAATGTCACCCACAGATAATACTTAAGAGTCCCACAAATTACTCCAAATTTTATTTTGCATGAGAATAGATCATGCCACAAGTGAGCAACTACCTCCACTCCAGACCCTAATGCTTCTTTCAATTTTGCATCTCTTTTCCATGTGTTCAGAATCTGTGCCCCAAAAGCACCTTACCATCTCAGAGGCTAAGAAAGAGAGAGAATTCATGTAAGAAGAAATGAGATCCTCAGTAATGTTAAGAAATCAAAAACAAAGAGGAAAGGATTGCTATATCGAGAAAAGCTATGGTGAGGTTTGGGCTTCCGGTTAAAAACAAAATACAAGTTAAAAAACAATTTCTTTTTGGCCCAGCGCAGTGGCTCATGCCTGTAATCCCAGCACTTTCAAAGGCCAAGGCAGGCCAATCACGAGGTCTGGAGTTTGAGACCAGCCTGACCAACATGGTGAAACCCCGTCTCTCCTAAAAATACAAAAAAATTAGCCAGGTGTGGTGGCGGGCACCTGTAATCCCAG